TGTTGTTTATTTATTACAATTTGGTCCATGACAGCCATAGGCTGATTAGTATCCATAGTGATGTAGATGATACTGATAGAGGGATCTCTTCTGAAACTTCTACTAAACTTGTGATCTAATGCGGTGTACACAGTGCTTATTGATGTGGATGGCTATCAATAATCTTTTCTGTATCACAGGAGATATTCTTAAATTCTACAATTCTACAGAAAGAGGCCATCATAATAATGACTTGTCCCTGTGCTCCATGTCATGCTGGGTTCCAAACAATGAGGAGCCACCAGGGAAGGACTATGTTCTCCAGGTTACAGCTCATGTCTTACCCATAACAATAGCGCAGCAGCTACACGATGTCCTGATGCTCAATAGTACCAGCTGGTTAGTGCCCTGACCACCTTCCAGAGTTAGGTGATAGGAAGTTTTACCTGATCCTATCAAACTGTTGGGCTGATTGACTGAAGGAGTTCAGAATTTTCACACCCCAAATTGTGTGAATATTCGCTTCAATTACCCAATCATGTAGATAAAAGAAATGAACAGAAGTTCGCTTTTCACATGATTGAATCATTGAATATTCACACAATAGATGGTGTGAAGATTCTCAACTCCTTTAGTTAATCCTCCTCAATATGTGGCAGTGGTTGGCCCTGAGTTTGTGGCAGAACACAGAGTTATTGGCATGGCTTCTCCTATTGCCCTCCCCTGTACACAGGGTATGCAGTCATATATTAAAGGGAGGTTAGAAAAAGGTGCTGGCTGTTTATTTAAGGTGATAAAATGGTCCATCAGCAGTAATCTCCATCGATATGTGCCACAAGGAGATGAAGGATGAGGGGACAAGCCACAATTAATTGCTCTATAGTTTTGTAGGAGAGAGTGGAGCCAGCACAGAGACAGCATCGATCTCAGCTCCCAGCTCCTATTCATCATCTGTACATTGTATATGGGGGTCTCTCAGGGCCAAGAGTGCTGGCTTTATACAGACAATATTCTCGTTTCAACCTTCTCTCACTGACAACAACCATTTCATTCACTCATCTAATCAATTCATGGAAATGCAACCACACTTGCTTTCAAAATATATTTATTTGCCCAAACAGTGGAAACAGAAAAGCCAGAAAGTCTTAGTGGATGGTAATATGGGATGTTTAAATAGATGTAAAATATGAGTGGTTACATATAAAATCACAGCCTGTGTGTAGAGATTATTCCTTCTTATTGGGATTCTCATACAATGGTTCATTTTTACAGGTTAGCAGCTCTGATCTTTTTTTTTTTTTACCACAGACATTTTCATTTTTTCCCCCTTCATTTTCCTCAAAAACGTTTTTGTAGGACAATGTAACATTTAATGGGGCACATCATAAACATATTGTAACAATATGGAGTTAATGATAGTAGTTAGTGCATTGTTTACTTTTTGTTTTACTATTTACTCATTTTTATTATTCCCTACATTTATCACATTTATAGTCAGAGCAAGTTATCCAGCATGTTTAGTACCCAAGACTGTAAAATGTGAAAATGTTTTGACTGCTCATTTACTTGCATAGTAAATTATTGTCAGACCATTAAGTTATTTTACAGTTAGGTGTGATTTACTGAAGGAGTCATTTTTTGTTCTTGATAAAGAGTACCTGTGTGTTTATCAAATCTAATCATGGGCAGGAGACGTTACTGTCACTTTGTATTTCCCCGCACTTGATTGGGTGCTCATTTTACCAAGAGTATAAAATTACTTCTTTAATAAATCACCCACTGTGTAAAGTAATATAACAGTTTATGTATCTTTTAAGCTACCTTATGTCATCCCTTAGGTGGTAGTAGTGTATCTGTTTAGCATAGTGTAGCAGGTAGACAGGGCAGCAGATAATAATTTTTAACACATTACTAGGGTACTTGGTCCATTATTCCCTGCTCTATTTGTACTTTATATGTGACATGACAGAATATTTAATGTAGGTCGCCACAAAATAACTATACCGTCTTCAGGCATATAAGGCGATTTACTAAGAGAATAGTTTAAGGGGATCTGCAATTATCACTTCCAAAGGAAATTATGAGAAATAAATAGTTTCTCCTAATCTGGGTGCAAATGAGTACAGATTGTAAGTGAGTATAACATATTTAGAATACTTTATACTATGATGATAATAATCATCATCATCATAGTATGAAGTATATTTAAGTCTATTTGCATCTAACATGCAACCAGGCTATGATACAATGAAAAGTGATCTTAGTGCTGAATAGGAATTCCCCTATTCAGTATTAAATGTATTATACAATCTGCTATATTACACCATTTCATCCTTCCCTGATAGTTGGATGCTTGTCATTGTATATCTGTTGGGAAATGTTTTTATTTTGTAACTATTTTATATGCATAATATTCTACATATGTTATACTCACACCATCAGCAGCACTCATAGAACATTATATTGTAGTTTATCAGACTGGACAGAAGAAGTGCAGAGATCATGCCTTACCAACAGTAATTATAAATGGTACAGAGTTTTTAGCCAATGTGCTTGTAAAGGTAATCATGCATCCTACACCTTTAACAAGAAATAATAGCAGTTTAGGCTTAAGAAACAGCAGCTTGCAAAGTCTTAATACACAGATTGTAAACAGAGTCTGATCAGAAGTAATCATATAATGGCTGAGATGGCCTTTAAACATGACATGTGACATGCCTGTAGCCACTTCTATTTTATGATCTGTACATTACCAAATCTTTATCCTTTCACTAAATATGTATAACCCCCTAAGACTGGTGTGTCCATTGTGCTGAGCGTGCGAGACTTGGCCTGTGGACAGGTACAGATTGGTCATTCACCATACCACAGGCAGTGCCTAAGAATTCATAGACCCCATACATAGCTCTGGTTTACTAAAATAGAAGCCTCTGGTAACTTTAAATGTCCAATCATTGAATCATTGCCCCTAAACATGTTTGGGTGACTGATGTGAGCAAAGGCTACAGAACAAATAACTAATTTAATAAATTAGCCATACTGGTAATTGCCATTCTAGTTGTATACAAACTGTTCATTTTGACTAGATCTTATTATATGCCATACCTAACCAGGTGACATGAAGCTAGGTTATCAAATTGAGAGTAATCCTGGGGTCACATGAATGATTTTAAAGGTACATATTCTCTTCAGGGATTGTCAAGAAAGTAATACCATAAAATCAGTCTGTAGACTACTGATTCCAGAGAGGCATCATCATTTTAACCTTCACATATCATGTCAGTAGTAAAATGATAATGTTATGGGTGAAACATTATATATATA